TGGGAAAGACTTTAAAACAAAACTTACAACAGTTACTTTTCTCAACAACTGAAATTTAGAATAGTGTGATTAAGAAAAATATGTGAACTGTTTGCAATTTCAAATTAATATTGAAATGTACAGGTTTAGAATTTTCTACAGTGAAAAGTTTTCGGAACTTCAGTGTTCAAAAAAGTATACAAAAGCTAGACGTTAAGAACGTATCCAATGAGCGAGTAAAGTGAGCATCGGATTGCGAAGCAATCCGAAATGAACTGCGAAAGCAGTTCCGGGGGTTGACGAGCACCAGCGAGCAGGGGGCGAAGCCTCCTAGTTTTATTATACTGAACTAGAAATTAAATTATGCATGTTTAATGATTTCTAATAGAAATCGATGAATTGGAATCTAAATTTGCGAATCTTCAGAAGCTTACCTGCAAGGAAAATAAATACGGGGTTTAAAATATTTATTTGGGGGATATGTCCATACACTTATGTTATCGATTTTAGATTTAAAAATTTATTTGGTGAATATATCTATATTTATGTTAGCCATTATGCTGACCTGACTTGTTGAAACAAAAATAACTAATTCTTAAAAATGTGCAAAAACTCTCAGATTAACACATTTTTGATTAAACAGAGCTGTAAGCTAGAAGTGAAGAATGTTGTCGTTGATTTATCTTTGAATAAAAAAAGAAATAACTTTCTGAAACTTAAATCTCAACAGTGTGTCGTACTAAGCATAAGAGAAAATTCGTTTTCACGCACCTGCCCCGAACGTTTCTAATACCGGTGTTCCAATACATTTTGTGATCTTTTTCGTCCATCAAATAATCAGTGTGTTAAATTTCATTGTAATCGGAAGAATGGTACTGATCTGATGAGGAGTTTACTCCTTACAGACAGACAAATAAAATAAAAAAGCACGTATTCATTTTTATATGTGTAAATTGATAATTGTTTATTTAAAAGTATATATATATATATATATATATATATATATGTTAATTAGTTGTATGGAGTTGTAAATAAAATTAATTTTCCTTAATTTTTGAAACCTAGTATCAGATATTAAATATTAGACATGAATTTGGTTATCACTTAATGTTTAGCAAGTTGCCATTTCTATATTTGCAAGAATAAAATCTAGGAATTAAGAAGAAAAAAAAATTACCTTTTTGTTTCGATAAAAGAGACTGTTCTTTCAATAATTAAATTTATTGGTTATTAAGGGATTTTCTATTTTTAAAATCAGTTTAGTTTCAAACCAAAGTTTGTCAGCATGCTGTTTCTTATTATTTCCAATTATTTTAATTAACTCCAGCAAAGTACTCGAACTACTTATTCAGCAACCACATGAACAGCTTATCTCACTGTGTTAAACTGCTATTATATCGATTAAATTTAGGCTGAAAATAGTTAAGAGAAATGACACTTACTTAGTGAGCAAAATGACGATTCGTTTGCTATCCACCACTCGTTCCATTAGATTGTTTATTTCGAAATTTCCAGCTTTGAGGTCTCTCTGGGGGACAAATAATTTATAAAATGGATGTTTCTCTTCCAGTTCTAAGGAAAAGCAAAATAAACAATGGTAAAAAATGCAGTTTATTACCTCCTTCTAACTTAAATAATATTTTTCACCCATTTGGAATATGAATAAGAATAAGAAGATGTAGGAGAAGAAGAAGTAGATGGTGATATGGAAGACAAAGTAGAAAGGCGAGGAAGAGAGAGAGGAGGAAAAGAGAGAATAAGTAGAAGAGAATGAATAGAAGTAAGAGAGGAGAATGAGTTGAAGTAGAAGAAGAAAATGAGTAGAAGTAGAAGAAGAAGAAAAAAGAATATGAAGAGAAAGAATAAAAAGAAGTAAAAAATATAGAAGAAAAAAAAATAGAGGATAAAAAAAAATTAAATGCTGATCAATGAAGAAACAGCAGTATGTAGTTTTCATGGCGAAATTGCATTATATGTTCTTTTGAATAGAAGTTATGAAATCCCATGTTATTATCAAATCCCGTCTACCTGTTTAGGGTTAAAACTTGAACATTTCCCTATATGTATGAAACAATAGTACATAGCTGCCGAACTTTACACGAAATAAGAGATGTTTTTACTAGTGGTAGTAAAACAAAAATTACATTTACCATAACCCAACATAGAAAATTTTCATCCAAAATCAATTTCCCCAAATATTCGTAAAATGGCAATTGAATTACAATTTGAGACCTTTTTTTTATTTCGCGAGATATTAAACACACCCTCATCTAACTATCATATGTTTACATGAATGTTTAATTTATTTACTTGTAATGCCGGTGAAAACCAATTTAAATATAAATTTATGTTGCTCAGAAAAATGGTATAAAAATATAAATTTATGTCATAAGAAATAAAACTATTGCAACCACCGTATGTTCAATTATATAATTTGACAAAAAAATTCATTAAACTCTGTGAAATGACATTTATAATTGCAAACAGTTCCTCATTGAGCTGATCGTTTAGACAGTGTTCATAGTAGCACAACGAAGTCAAGCATCACTGGCTGTGGTCAGTGCGCGGGTGAGTGACCACTTTGATCTGCCTGCAAATGGATCTAGAGTGTGAGGTGCGTTAAACTGTTCTACCGTGAAAAGCTCGACTTCTCGAAGGTCGTCTTGTTACCGAATCAGGGCAGCACCCCTTTGCAGAGGATCAAAATTCGGATGGCACGTCTTCAGATCATCCTCAGGAATGTTTCCCAGAACGTCACTAAAAGGTTTATTTTAGTGGTAGCTACTATTATGCTTAAATGTATTAATTTTAGTTTTTTTAAACTTATTTTCCACACCACTGTGCATTAATGATTTAAAAGTTCATATTCAACGCCATTTTGTTCCAGCTCTTTCATGGTGAGGCTTTTAAAATGTTGGCTACATTGGAAAAAACACAGAAAGCTTTGGTTTTTAAATGTCTACTACTCTACAAAATATTTTGAATAAAGCGTTAGTAGTTGGCAGGCCTGCTTTTGTCGCACTTAAAAATAATATAAAAGTTTAATCTGGCATTCTGAGGATTTTGCTACCACACGATTATGAATTGTTTTAAGAAAATGTAAAGCAAGAAGCTGAGATTTTAAGGCATTTTTAAACTTACCTGGCAGAAAGTGTTTTCGGACCCTAGCAGCGTCTTCATCAGTGAACGAAATATAAGCATCGAATAGTTTTCCGTCATCTCTTTTGTCTCGTTTCTTGAAACATCTCCATTCTCTCGAATAGAGCCACACTTTTAAATGATATCGATATCGGAAATACAACAAAATGGAGGCCACTGTCATCATTAGAATCACTGCAAGGTATGAATAAAAAAAAACAATTATTTTTGAAAATTGTTTATTAGTAATATATACACCCAAAATTAGGTTATATATCATTCAAAATTTTGACAACCATTCAAATTGAAATAACAGTTTTTCTAATATGCTCAAAATAATGATTAGGAATCTTTACTGGCAAATTAATAAAAATTGCCCACATTAACCTTACTCTCTAGTTTTATCGAATCTGGGGGGTGAAAAAAACGCTAGGCTGCCTACTTTCTGATCTTTTTGTGAAAATTTCTTCTAGTGGTAGCTGAGTTAATGTTTTAATGTATGATTCTTTATTTTGTAAATTTGATTCAAATTTATTCAACACACCACTACATTTAAATGAAACGGGGAAGAGAAAACAAATATTCCTCTCTAAATTTGCTTCTGCATTTGTGCAAAACTGCATTTGTATTTTTTAATATCCTGAACCGTTGGATAACAATATCGAGACATGGGACTAATATTAAGATAATGATTTTTGCATACAGTTCTGAGCAGTATTAATAAAATCGAAATATGCACTGTCCATGAATAAGGTCAACTTCATATGCTTGCTATATTTTCCTTGCTTTGTTCTTATGGACAATTTAATGCGTAAGTTTTAATAAATTAAAAAAAGGAAGCTCTAAAATGCAAATTATTTTTACAAAGTTGATTCGTAATATTATCCCCCCCCCCCCCCCCCTACTTACCCAATCCATCCAAAGCCGAAAACATGAGGTCGAGTAATCCCAGATAGTAGTGCAAGGTTGATTTTAATGACATCAACAACCTTTATCGCAACCCCTGTACTAGGGTTATAAATGATTAGCAAATAAACCATGCAAGCTTGAAATTTAACTATGCTACCAATGTTCGCATTAATTTCGCAAAAACAACCCTTTTATATCGAGATTGAATCTGGCTTTGCGAAACAAGACTAGAAAAACGTTCTGAAATCACGAATAAATCATCCTTTTCAAATCAACAGTAGAAAAGCGTTTCCAAACCGAGGATAAATTCACCTTTCCAAGATTTCATTTAGAATTTATAACCCTCACTTAAACAAGGTTTATTCGCGCTTTTCACACTTTCTTTAAAGCTCTAAAAGTGAAAAAGTAAAACCAATTTAGCCTAATCACAAGTTTTCAACGCAAACATAATTCTGCATTTCAGAGCTTGGACAAAGCTAGAGAGAAGAAAAAGGCAAAAAGAAGATTTACAGTAAAAGACGAAAATATCTCATTTTTGTAAATTTTGCATACTAATATTTCTTCCAAGTCTAAAAAAGATTGATTGATCAATCTTTCTATGCCGACCAAATGAAAATACAACGTTTAACATAGTGTTGCGTACTATCTGGATTTTCATTCACAATGTAAAAGGTACACAACAGTTTGCAATTGGTTTAATAACGTTTTATTTGGAGGAGATTTCTGGGTTTTGACGATTTTTGAACTAGCTTTACTTTGGTATAGATGATAGAAGGGCCGGGATAGCCTGGTTGGAAAGGTGTTAGGCCCATATCTAAGAGGTACTGAATTCGATCCCGTTCTGTCGGAGATTCTTCTTGTAGTATGTGGTAACTGGTGCGCATTAAATCTGTCGGGTCATGAAGTCCTCCATGTTCCCATAACAAATTATACCTCTCGTAGGACTGAATTGGAGATTGATTGTTCTATTGTTCAGGTTAGAATTACGATTCTGTGGATGAATGAATGAATATGTGAATGGCTCCGCCCTATAAAAAGGGCTGTGAGGAGTGTACAGCTGAAGTCGTACTTTTGGACATAGCACTGATAAGCAAGAAACGCACCATCGGCATTAAATTTCACCGAGGTTACTTGCTTACATAGGCAAGTGACATTAAAAACAACAACATAAATGATAAAAGAAAAGCATCTTTTAACATAACTTTTCTGTAGTTCAAGACATGTTTGATATTGATACTTACCCGCACCACCTACCCCCATTAAGATATAGTTCCGTATTAGTTTAGGACAAAGCTCGATTTCACTTAGAGTAATTATTACTCTCCCTCTCATATTCTCTCTGTCTTCTTCAAAGCTGCATCGTGTCTCGTTTACATCTAAAATCTGAAAATATTTCGAAATTTTAGAAATTTTCTAAAATGGCATTAATCCGTCAATTAGGGTTACTTTGCCTAGTTTTAAATTTCGATTAAATTTTTCGCTTACTTCAGTAAGAGAGTAATTAAAATCGCCAATTAGTGGGAGAAATTGGTATTATAATATTTAAATTCGCTTTCATTACTTTCCCTTTTAGTAAAAATTCAAAAATGTGTTAGGCAAACATATCCTTACTACCGGCGTACTTTATTACGTAACGTAGTTACGCCAAGTTGTCACGTAACGTAGTTACGCCAACTGCTTCTAAAGTCAACTTTTTGGAAATATTTCCTTTATGAGGGGGGGGGTCAAATAAGCAAAAGTATGCATCTAAACAGTTAAATATTTTTTTAATCATTAATTATTTTTATAAATCTTCTTTGCTCGTTTAATTGTTAGATATTTTTTTTTAATTTTAATAGATAACTGTTAGCAGAAATAATTAAAAAATGAGAAAATATATATTAACGTACAATGGGACTCATTGTTTGACAAAATCTTGAAAAGTTTTTTCTCCAGTCTACCTCATTGAATTATTTATTATTATTAATATTTATTATTTTTATAAATCATATTTACGCGCTAGAGAGTCGTTCAATTGTTAGTTCCTGGTTTTAAAATTCTAATTGAAAATTGTGAGAAGATATAATTTAAAAAAAAAGAAAACGTACATATTGGCACGTAATGTGACTTATGCTGTTTGTCAAAATCTTGAAAGATTTTCTTTCCCAATCTGCCTCAGGATAAAAAAAAATTTCTCTTATCCAATTCGCCGATGTTCTAATCGAAACTTCAATTTTCTATTCAATTTGTTTTCTCTCATCGGCCTCAATTGTTTTCTCTGAGATGGAATTTTGAAAACAATGCCAGTCAGGAAAATGCTGGATTCATCCACATTCTCATAAGTGTATGGCTTCTTTTTGCCCTTAGTTCTCAGATAGGTTGAAAACCTTTGATTTTTGGCAGACAATGCTTCAGAGATTTTCCCTGAGAAATATATATCCATCCAATTTACACTGCACTAAACACAAATAGTTATAATGATTCAACAGCCATTTTTGTTTGTTTTACGGATAAAATTTGTTAAACTGCTTGTTCAACGGTCACTATACAAGACAATTATTTTTCGCTCTGATAAATAATCTATATATATATATATATATATATAACTAACTAACTCAGTGGCGCGACAGCCCATTAAGAGGGCCAAGGCCGACTGTGCCCATCTCAGTTTTCTTGACCTTGGGCTCTGGGGTGCAGGAGCATATGTTCCGGTATAGTTTTTTTTAAGTAGCGGA